AAACATAAACTCAGAGCTTCATTAGAAATGGTTTAGACTGATCCATTTTAATGTCAAAAAGGCCCAGTTAATTAAGCACCATATAATTTATCTGCCAGAAATAAATCTAAGATATGTCAAAGTTTGAAGCAACAACCTGACAAAATGTGTAAAAGTTTAAGAGGTAGGAATACTTTTGCAAGGCCTGGTATCAGATACCAATGTTTTTTCAAGTCAAGCTACTTTGATTGCTTTAACCAAGAAATTAAATATTGGATGAAACTGAGAGAACCAATCGGTTTGAAGGGGTAGAAACCACCTCAGCATTCCACATCGCTTAGATGTGGTAAAACTGCCCGACATGTCATCTGTTTGTGCTTAAGTGCTACTTTAGCTCACTCAGCTCATTTAATTTCTATTAGTTAATGAAAACTTTATCCCTCTGGGTTAAAAACAGGAAATATAGTCATCTTGGATCAACAGAGACGCCAGACGAAGGTACTTTTCTAAATTAAAACTACAATTCTAGCCATCTGACTTCCTAACAGCCACCTTTCTATCCTTCCATCTTATCTTACCCCCTTCCGGATCCTTCTTATCGGTCAAGGCCTATGAGAAGTTTAGTTTTCTCTTCCTCTTTCTTGCTCTCATTCTTCAGATCTGCAAACACCTGGGTGAAGAAATGGGGGTCGGTGTTGATTTGAAGCATCTTGCCACTCATCCGGTTGATAATCTCCAGGCAACGATCCCAGAAGGCTTCCTTCTCAGCTTCAACTAGGAAGGGCTTCAGGGGATAAGAGATCTCGTTGCCCATGTAGGAATAGGAAAGGTAGAGGCAGGTGAGCAGCGAGGCCTGAAGCTCACGCTCTGAGGCTACCTCGGACGAGACCACGTCCCGGCACAGCATGTAGAGGAAGACAACATTGGCTGGAGTGATGAAGCCCTGATCCTGCCAGCCCTGCAGGAGCAGAGAGCGGTCCACGCTGCGCAGCCACAGCACGGGATCTGTCGGAGACAAGCGCTTCAGTCTATAACAGCGGCGGCAGAGGAACTCCCCAAGGCTACGCATCAGCTCACTGGTGGAAGCCTAATTTTTAGAAAGAGAAAACAGGTCACTGAGAAGAAGAAGAATTAAAGGTACATACTTGGGCTTTATGACATTCTCTTTCATTTATATGCCAGTAACTCAGCCTGTCATCCTGCTGGAGTAGCATTTGTTAATTTTGTCATTACATTTTTTTTTTACTCAATTTACTAATAAATAAAGCATTTCTGTCCATATTTACCATAGCAACATCATATGATTGGGATTAAATCACTGTGCTTGTGTACAATTGGTCAACAAGCCGAAGCAATTCTAAATTTATAAAACTAAAGCTGGAACTGAAGCTCAGGAAGCATCCAAGGCACATGTGGAAATGTCTTTGCTAATAGTGCTGATGGTGTTTGCAATTTTAAGCCCTAACCTCCTGTTGTTTTTTTTACTCAAAGCATTACAGCACAATCGGTATGTGGTTAGTACTTATTTTATTTATTAGCTAAGTCAATGGCAGACAGCGCCACACCTGATTATATCAGCTCATCTCACCTGGTGCTGGGGGTTTTATTTAGCCTCAAAAAGGACGATCAAAACCAATTCAGGACAGACGCTTGGAGTATATAGGCTTATTTTACCATAATCACCTGAATTTTGATCTTTTCTGAACAGGCACATGTTTTCACTAAGTAACTCAAACATTCAGGTTACCTGGACAATGATCCGTTTTGGCGTACCAGCAGCAGTGGAAGGCTGGATTCCAGTTCCTGTGAGGGAATTCTTTTTGGCAACTACAGCGGCTACGTTTGCAACGGTCTTGGAGGTGGGCAGGTGGGAGGAGGTAGTGGTGGTGGTAGCAGAGGGATCCTGACTGGATGAGTATGTGGTAAGGTTAGCGCAGGATTGAGACTTCTTTAGCTTTAAGCTGTTGGATGCTGAGTTGGTGGTTCCATGGCCTTCTGGAGAGCTCCCTTTCCCCCCATCCCCAACTTCTGTTTGGAGCTTCTTGGAACCCTTCCTCTTTGCCGATACAGCCACAATCCGTTTCCATGGCAATGCGCTAATAATAGAAGGCCGTTTCAGGGACTTAGCTGATGCAGCCTCCTTAGCATTCTTGCTGTTTTGGACAGCTGTGTAGTGGCCCACTGTGGCTGCACCATCCTCAAAGAGAGCAGCTTTACGATAGCTCGGAGAGAGTGATAGAACCGTTCCCATGATGACTGATTTGGTTCCACAGACCAACTAGGCTAAAGGATAAAAGCTCTTTGATTGGGGAGGAAAAAGAGCTCTAATAGGGCCAGAGTGTATTTCTTCTGTTTCAACCTGTGAGCAGAAAAAACGACAAAAACATGAAGAAAAGGCGACAATTCATTCCTTTCTTTATTAAAGTAACAGTGATAGATTTCATAAACCACTTGCTAAGAGGGATTAAATCTGAAAAGTTTTTTTTTCTGGAGTATCAAGTCCCCTAATGTCTAGAACTTGTACAGGTGTCTTTTGGTGTCCTTCTGTTTCAAAGTTCATGAATGCTGGAGACATGCAGGGTTTAAATTGCCTCTGTCTTGTTCTTTTTTTAAGCAGCTAGGATTACCTTTTCATGACTTCACTTTCCTGTCAGTGTGGTATTTTAATTGTTTTTTCACACAATAAAATTTAAGAACCTGATCAACAGAATATTTTCACATCTCAAAAGAGCTGCAAACAGCATGTTAACTGAAAAATCTAAGTTTCTTATACCTGAAATCAGGAAAAATCAGAGTTTTCCGTTTCACAAAAAGAGTTTCCTCAGCCTTTCTCTGTTACTGTGGTATCATTCTCCCTGAGCAAACCCGGTGGGGAACAGGTTTTCCCTTAATAAACCCAGTGTCCTCTGTCTTTGCCCACCTTTAAGCCAGTCATTTTGATTTATTTACTGATAAAAAAAAGTCTGTCACTCTGTCACAGTCTGTTAGCACAATTTGGGCCTTAAAAAGAAAACCAGACCATTCGTTTGAGGATCCAACTGATGAATGAGCTGAGAAATAAATATTAATAGGGAGAGGTTCTCAAAATCGCATTTCAATGTCATTTATATAGACAAAGTTATATTTATGAGAGCTACCATTTCATCCACAGTCAATCATATACATCCAGGACCATATCTGTCCTCACATTGGCAGGTTTACAAAGACTTCTTTTACAGGGATTTAAAAGAATTTGATATGACCTGCCTCAAAACTCCATCTGACGCTCAAACTGAGGCTAGTTCTGCTGGAAGTTTCTTCCAGTGTAAAGGGAGTTTTTCCTCTCCACTGTCACTACATGCATGCATAGTGTGAGGGATTGCAATCTACTGGTTTTCCTTAGATAGAAAATTTGAATCACTTTGACTGTATGATCTGGTGAACTGGAAAGTGCCTTGAGATGACATGTGTGAATTGGCGCTATATAAATAAACTGAATTGAAATACCAGAAATCAGAGTTTTGACCAAAAACACATACCAACGTAGCTCCCTGTGTCAACACATAAAGGGCTACACTAAGATGTTTTCCAGCCAAATATTGTAGAATTAAACAAATTTACCAAAACATTTAGAAAATAAAGATAGCATCCATAAGAAATAACAACGGATCTTCTTAGTGTCCCTTTCACTCTTTAAAAAGAATATAAACCATACAAGCACTCAGTTCTTGGACTAGTATTGTTTTTTTCATGGTTTAACCCTTTATTCACTCAG